TGGCATGAGGAAGGGGCTATAAAAGGTGCCCTTAAAATTGTCTGTTTCACCTAACCTTAGTCTGCTTACTGTGGTAGGCAGGGTCCTAACCTGTGTATTTTGTGTCAAAATACACAAAAAAATGTACAAAAACAAAAAAACTTTTATTTTGTTTTTTTGTTGTCTTTTTTTTTTTAAATAAAGCTATATAAAGTTTGTGGAATAAACAGAGTAAATTTCTAAATTAGAAAAAGAAAGTTTCCCATTGGGGATACTTTCCATTCTTCAATCTTGAACTGTCCATTTTCCTGATGATCTTTCACATTGTTGCCCTCCTATAGTTGGTAATGACCAGGCTTGAGTGATAATCACCATATGGGTAACGTACAAAATAAATCCAGCCCATATGGGTGACATCTTTCACTGTCTATAATCTATGACTTCCCTGGAGAATTCTCAGAATGGACTAAAAAAATCCATTTCCTGATTTATGTTAAATAGTCTGGTCATTGTAATGGAGCCAATAAAACTTCATCCCTGCTGTTCTGTGGGTGTCAGAAATAGGAAAACCAGCATATTATCCCATGGGATTTTTTTCCCCCAAGGAACCAGCAATATACCACAGTACTTTATTAATCTCCATAACAATGGCAATTAACATTTCTGTAGTGCTTTATAGTTTACAAGACACTTTCCTCAAAGTAATTCTGTGAAGAAGGAATCATAAGTATTTTAATCCCTCTTTTACAAATGAGGAAACTGAGGCTCAGAAAACCTCACTGACTCACTGAAAGCCACATGTCTTATAAATGACCGAGCCAGATTTGAACAAGTTATCTTGACTCTAAGCTTTTTAAAATGAGGTAACACATGGAATGCACTTTGCTAAACTTAAAAGATTATGTTACTTGCTATTGGGGGTTGTGGTGAGTGGTATCTGGACCTGTGCTTTCATCAGAATGGGGACCTCCCTATATGGAGACTCCCTCCATTAATATGAGTTGGCAATTCCAATCCAATCCATCCTATCAGAAGAACATTTGTTTATTAAGCACCTACTTTGTTCAAGGCATTTTGATAAATGCCTTTGAAATTCAGAGGCAAAATTAAAATAACCCATAGATATTTTCAGGCATATCTTTGGAATTGCTTTTCTTTCATTGCTTCTTGGGTTTCCACAGAATAGACTATTATCTGATTTTTGGTCCCAAGTCCCTTTTTTGCCCTGACGATATCCTTTGTCACTAGTTTAGTTCTTCTTCAAATCATCCTGTGAAGCCACGTAGCAAAATACAAAGAGTTGCGTTTAAACTAAGTTGAGGATATCTATTTTAACTCCCATAATTTCCCTGCTTGCCATTCAGATTTACTCAGGAGCAAGATTGCAAAGAGATAAAGCAAAGCTGATGCAATTGACAACTTTGTCCTATTTCTTTCTAGTAACAAAAATCATGGTACTCTTTCCCTATGTGCAAATTGAATGAATCTATTTCCTGTCACCCTTGTTGCCTTGCCATTGCCTAGATGAGTAAGGGTCATTGCCTGCTTTTCCTTCATGTTTCGCAGCGTGTGTCTCTACTTTCCACTTTAAATCCAACCTGAACCACTGTAAATTCAGATCATAACCACATGCAAGCTTCGAAACTGCCCAGTAATCCCTATGTGAGGTGATGGGAACCTAAAACAAGAAGTAGTGGGGATTTGAAGAAATGGTGAATCCAAGCTATATTGTGAAGGAATAAACAATAGTAGTTGGTGTCAGATTAGATAAAAGGTATAAAGTTAGAGGGAAGAGTTAAAAATGATACTAAGACTTATAGCCTTGGGAGATAGAACTTATCAAAACTTAGATTTATGGTTTAGAATCTTGGAGCTGAAAGAATCTATAGAATTCATCTATTTCAATCTTCTTCCTAAGAAGAATACTATACTTGGAATAAGATTGTCTGGGTTCAAATATTTACAGCCTGATATTGGGCAAGTCCCTTAAATTCTTGGGTCCCACTTGCTTTATTTGTGAAATGAGAGGATAAGGGGATGATCGCCAGAATCCCCTCCAGTTCTAAATCCTGCTATCTCTGCCCTCCTTGCAAAGAATCCCTTCTATAATACCCCTGGAAATCGTTGTGAACTTCTACTTGAACATACAGCAATAGGCAGGTCATTCCTTCACAAAGTAGCCCTTTCTACTTTTGGATAGCTTAAGTTGTGAGAAAATTCTTCCTTATATTGAACCAAGTCTTCTACACTGTAATTTCTATCCATAGATCTTGTGCCCTCTAGAGCTGTACTGAAAAACTGCAATCTTTCATCCATAGGATAGCATGTTTTCAAATATTTGAAAATAGCTCTCATTTCTCCCCTAAATTTTGTTCTTATTCAGACTAAACATCCTACTTCAACTAGTCGTCATATGACATGCTTTTCAGGGCCCCATAATCCTGTTCACCTGCCACTAGATATATTCTTACTTGTCAATAACACTTATAAGTGTGGTACCCTGAACAGAACACAACCCAGTACTCTTTCTCCATATCCCTCATGCAAAGCATAGTACCTGGCACATTTTTGTTGTTCAGTAATTTCAGTCACATCCTACTCTTTGTGACTCCATTTGGGGTTTCCTTGAAAAAGATACTGTAGTGGTTTGCCATTTCCTTCTCCAACTCATTTTACAGAAGAGGAAACTGAGGCAAACAGGGTTAAGTGACTTACCCAGGATCACACAGTGTCTGAAGCCAGATTTGAGCTCAGGTCCTCTTGACTCTAGGCCTAGCACTCTATCCACTGTGCCACCTAATTTCCTAACCTAATACATAATAAGCACCTAATAAATACTCATCAAATGACTGACTGACTCTAGAACCAGTCTAACCAACAAAGACTATTATTTCTCTTGATATGGACCCTATAATTCCTTCAATGTAGTCAAATATAACATGGCAGCCATGTCATATTGTTGGCTCTTATTCAGCTGTCTGTTCATTCAAACCTCCATATATTTCTTATATGATCTATTCTCAACAAGATGTCTGCCCATCTGTATTCTTGTAATTGATTTTTTGAATCTAAATATAAGACTTGACATTTATCCTTAGGAAACATAGTATAGAGGTAAAACTGCTCAAGAAACCTGAATCTCCCTGGTAACTTGCTGTGTGATCTTGGGCAAATCATGAGCTCTTTGAGTCTCAATTTAATCATCTGTGAAATGAGAATGATAGCAGCTGCTGCCTCACTGGGTTGTGAAAATCAAATAAAATTTATGTAAAGAGCTTTACAAACCTTCAATGGATATAAAAATGTTTATTAATATTATTATGCAAGTCATAAATGCTCTACCCCTCAAATACATACCTTATAATTTTAGACGATTGGTTAATTGTTAGGATCCTTTTCAGCTCCAAAATGATTTGATTTATACATAACATTCTCTGCTTTCATCTGGGTTCTATTTCTACAGATCAAGGTACTACACCATGTAGTAGATTTATAAGCATTTTTCACTCTGGGGAGAGAGGTAAGAGGTACTACTACCAATTGCCTCACCTTTCTCTATCTGGGCTGCCATGTGGTCATAAATACGTGGAGTCGCTATTCTTCTATCTATATTGTGTTTATTCTTCTCTGATCTAAGAAGAATGAGTACCCAGAGATGGATTAGATTATGTCACCATGTTGCAGATTTTGCAAAGCTGGAAGAACTACTAATGGTACTAAAATGGGAATCCACAGCACAGTCTACTAGTAGAAACAACAGTTGAGCCTAGGGATGAGCCAGTCAGTCCTAAGGAGTGACTTGCTTAACTCAGCCCAACAGGAAATCATCTCAATAGTCTCAACACCATATCTTGCAAGCAAGGGAGTAACTCATTCATCACTATGCCACACTCAGATGTGAACTTGGTGGGGTCAGGGAAGAGGACGTTTGTGGAAACCACTTTAAGCTTGAGCTCAATTTCCCCAGGGACTGATGTGGTAGAGGATATTTTGTTCCCAGTTTCAGAGGTTTCTATACTTCATTTCTTGCACTATCTTCTCAGCAAATATCCTTTTAAAAATAATTTATATTAATTGCAGTGATATTGCATACTTTATCAATGGGTCAGTTGATACTGGGGCAATAATCATTAGAGAGATGATATCACAGGAAAGTTAATCCCCACTGGCTGGAGGATGTTGGGGAACACACAATAGGGATGGTTGTGACTATTAGAAAGATATTCTCACCCCCTCAGGATTACCTTTAAAACTCTGAGTGGAAAGCATAATAGCTGGTTCTAGGGGTCTGATCTACCAGTGGAATTGGAATTGGGAGAGTGATCTCAAAGCTTATATGCACTAAATATGATATTATTAATTCTTCTTCTTAAATCCTAGTATGATACTCATCCAGACATGGAGTAGACTATTGGCCAAGTCAACATAACATAAGCACTTATTTGAAGACCAGCCTAGCTAAGTTTGAAGAGGCTCATCACCAAAAGATTAATTTTCAAGGACCTCAGCAATTCACAAAGATAATCTGCTGTGGCATTCAGTACATACAAGGTAATAATAGCTAACATTTATATATATAGTACTTTAATGTTTGCTTTATATATATTATCTGATTTAAGTCTCACAATAACCCTGTGAGGTAGATGCTATTATTGTGCCCATTTTACAGATGAGGAAACTGAAACTGAAAAAAGGCTACATGAATTGTCCAGGGTCACACAATTAGTAAGTGCCTGAGGCAGAATTTAACTCAGGTCTTTCTGACTCTAGCATTTAATTTCCTATGTTGCCTAGCTATCTCTTAGTTGCTGAGAGTACTAAAATATTATGAACTTTATATACCCATTCAAATACACATGCAGGTTGTATTTCATGGCTGAAGACTATACTGCTGAGAAAGGTCACTCTGTGTGTGTGTGTGTGTGTGTGTGTGTGTGTTTGTGCACGTGTGAATGACAAAACAATCCTAGTCTAAAATGGATTCACCTAGGCACATGAACATGGAATAAAGAGAATTGCTAGTGGTCATTCACTTCAGCAGCACATGGACTAAAATTCTTTATACAAAGAAGATTAGCACAATGTCTGCACGAGAGTGATAAGCAATTTCATGAAGTGTTTCATTTTTTTTAAATAAAAGATTAAATGATGTAAAAATAAAAGGTAAAAATTTAAAATGACCAAAAAAATCAAAGCATACAAATGAGGGTCACAGAACTTATTAAGGGATTAAAATGTAAGTTCCTTGAGGGCAGGATATTTTTGGGTTTTGTATCTTCAACCCAGCACAGCCTCATACATACACAATAAATGTTTAATGAGTACTTGTTGACCTGAACCAAAAAAAAAAGTAGCCAATATGAGGAATTCAAGGAAACATGAGAAGATTTGTGAGAACTTAAAAAGTAAACTAAGCAGAACCAGGATAACAATGTAAAGTAACAAAACCAGTAAAAGTAACTAAAACCCTTAATCATTATATTGATTAATCCTGGTCTGAGAAAACAGATAATGAAATATATTTACTTCTTCTTGGTAGAGAAGTGGGTGGCTATGGGGATATAATGTTGCATATACTGACATATGCAATGATAAATTGCATGTTTTTGTTTAACTACTTTTATTTCTTACAAGATATGGTCAAAACTGGGTTTGAATGGGGCTATATGTAGAAATTATTTTGAATAAAAATTAAGGACAACAATTATACTTTTTTAAAAAAATCAAAATCAATATACTGGAATCTTTTAGATATTCTCCCAAAAAATCACAAATTTGAATAGAATGGAAGAGAAATTGGCAGGACCCTCTGCATTGTACTGAGACTCTTTGGTTACCTGCAGAACTTCAAACTTAAAATATCAGGGGTAGACCAAGAAATTTTAAAACCCTGTGTTAAAATGACACCCTACCCTTTATTAAGGACCAGGTGGTCAATATATTCCAAAGTAAGGCCAAAACAAGACAAACAACTGTACTTAGAAAATAACTTTCTTTACTGTTGATCGATAAGCTTATCTGTTGATTTGTGAATACACATGGTGTTTGTCCAGCCCTCTCAATCACATTGGCTTGCTGCATTTCAAATCAGTAATACCTCCCTGAACCAAGACCTAAACCACTAATTATCCACAAATCAGTCATAATTTGAAATCCCACATCTGTAGGATCTGTGTGAAGCATTGGCCTATTTCCCTAAATAACTAGCAATCCATTTCCCACATTTTCTCCACCACCACAGCCACTGCTAAAACAGCTGTTATTGTGTTGAAATGTCCAGGGAAGATTGAAATTTCAACCAAATTCCTTTAACAACCATGCCACAGACTCAGAGTTTTCAAGGAGTGTGCCCTATGAAGAATGAGCTCACAATAAGAAATGCAGACCACTCAGTTTGAACTTTTCTTATCCATTATAAGAGCATTTAAGTGCATAGGGAAGGGTGCAAAAAAGGAGGGGAGGAAAAAAAATCTCAACAATTGGATCATTCCCTGTCATCAGTTAGTCAGTCAACAAGCATTTATTTGTTGACTTCATTACTGACTCTCTAGGTTTTTTCTTCCATGTTACATAAGCCTCCTCACTCTAGAAGTTCATTCTACCATCTGGACTTCTCACACTGCACGTACATGCTGTCCTTGAAGCCCCTTCCTCTGATTGATTAGTTTCTCCTCCCAGGACCTTTACTTTAAGGAAAACACCCACACCAGCCATGTCTTCATTCCTCTCCAAACTCTATCCTGACTCTCTGGACTTTCTCTACCATGTCCCCCACACCAGCACCTTCTGCCCAAACACTCCCTGGTTTTCAGCTTCCTTTATGTGCTATCTTCCCCCATTAGAATGTAAGCTTCTTGAAGACAAGGACTGTCTTTCTGTTTGTAAGTGTAATCCCAGTGCTTAGCACAGTGTCCCACACAATGTCCCACTCTCAATAAATGATCATTCATTTGACTTTACTGTGTCAGGTGCTATGGTAGGTGCAGGGGATCTAATTCTTTCTTCCCCTCCCAACCTCTCTAAATCTGAAAAGGATGTTTAAATCACAATAGAATCAAAACCAGTCTCTGAATTTTTCTTGAGCAAAAATAATTCCTCATGAAAGATATATTGTATATCATTTTTAGCTGTTCCCTAAATGAACTGAACCTCATGGGCTAAAAGGTCTGAGAGGTTGGACTTCTTCCAGAGTAGCTGACATTAAAAGTGATAGGAGGGGGTGGGGAGTGATAAGAGCAGTTTTCAAAAATAATACAGCAGGAGGTCAAGTCTGCCTAGGTTTCTTTCACACTTGATACCTTCTACCAAATGAATACAATTCAAGCCCTGTTTTCCAACCCTCATTGCCATTTCAGAGTTATGAAGTCATGACAGCTGCAACTGCAGGCACCAGGAACTAATGCAATGAAAACAAGTTGGAGTGAGTCCCACTCCCTGCTGCCCAGTGGAAAGGCACACTGGTTGCAATGAAAACACCAACAAGGGAAAAGAGAGAAGATAAAAGAGGGAAGAAAAAAACAGGAAAGAGGAAGAAAACAAGAAGGAGGAAGAAGGAAAGAGAAGAAGAAATTATATTAATGGCTCGGTTAAGGGAAACAACAGACCCATGCAGAATGACAGCATGTCTTACTCCACGGAAATTTGCTTTTTATGACTGCTAGCCTTTGGGCAGGGCACACATGGAGGCCTGTCATTTCCAATACCAAGTGATTCCTCTTAATAAGTCTGGTCCCAGTATGCACTCCTTCAGTCACCTTGGCAACGATCATAACCACAAGTCCCACTGAATAAACTCACAATCCTTAATATGAGCAGAGTTATTACACTTGTGGCTTAAGCCTTGAGGACTTGCAAGGTTTTCAAAGTACCCAAAATAAATTGTGAAAGCAGCAAAGTCTAGTGGATCAGAGCCCCCAAACCCTGGATTCGGGACTGGGGCACTAGTTCCAGCGTTGGCGTGTTCTGTTATGATTTGGAACTTACGTCTCACTTTCCATTTGCAACAGGTTTTATGATCATTTTCATTAGTTATTCCTCACAGAAAGCCTGGTAATAAATGGCTATTTTGAATCAAATGGCACAGCAGATGTGAAATTAAGCTCCACCCGGTTCTCAAGAGAGCATTAGGGGATTGGGGGCAAGGAGGTGGCAGTGATTGAAATGGCAGGGGAAAGTGGGGAGGACAGGAGGAGAGGGAGTCAGAAATATTGCACTCTCAACATAGACTGTTCCCCATTCCTTCCCCTGTTTCTCAGTCTCTTCTCTGCCAAACTGTGTGGCATCTTTATCCTTACATCAAGGAATGTCATAATCTTTATCTATTTCTACCTTCTTTCAAATTTTTAAAAATATTTTATTTTCCCCCAATTACCTGTTAAAACAATTTTTAACATTTTTTTTAAAGTTTTGAGTTCCAAATTCTATCCCTCCTTCCTTTCCTTCCCTCCCCTCCCTAAGACAGTAAGCAATCAGATATAGGTTATACATGTACAATCATGTGAAACATTTCCTTATTTGTCATTCTGTGTAAGAACACTTGAATAAAAGAAAAAGAATGAAAGAAAGTGAAAAATAACATGCTTCAGTCTGTATTCAAATATCAGTTCTTTATCTGCAGACAGATACCATGCTTCATTATTAGTCCTTTGTGATTGTCTTCTATCATTATATTGCTGAGAAGAGCTAGGTCATTCACAGTTCTTCATCGAACAATATTGCTGTTACTATGTACAATGTTTCCCTGGTTCTGCTCAATTCACTTGCATCAGTTCATAAATTCTTTCCAGGTTTTTCTGAAATCATCCTGCTTGTCATTTCTTATAGCATAATGATAGTCCATCACTAGCTTCCAATTGCAGTTTGCTCATGATCCCAGCCAATTACTTGACTATTAAACTCTTTGTTAAGGTAGGGGTCTGCTTCCAGTGTGGAGAATTACTGTCCCAAGCTTCAGGGGTTTTGTGCAGCTATTTTCAGAGATACTTTTAGGGACCTGTAAATTTTCTAGTACAATCAAGGGCAAGGTGTTTACTCCTTTCCTGGCCCATACTCTGGTCTTTTCTGCCTTGGAACTGTAAGGAGGATTCCCTCTCCACCAACACTACAAGTTCCACCACGCCAGTACTCATCCTCGTCCTAGGACCGCCACCCAGAACTGTGACCCAGTTCTAAGCATGAACAAAGCAAGAGAATCCTGCCTCAGCCCCAGCAAAGAGATCCCTACAATCCCACTCTGATCAGCCACTCTATTCCCCCTCTGTCTGTGGACTAAGAGCTACAGAAGCAGCAGCAGCCCCGGGGCTGCACTAGGACAGGGGCTGGGACCCAGCTCCTCTCTCACCGTGGTCACAGACCTTTCCTACTGACCTTCTGAGTTGTCTTTGGCATTTGTGGGTTGAGAAGTCTGGAAACTGCCATAACTGCTCATGATTCATCCTCTGAGGCCTGCTCCAGGTTCACTGAGGCCTGGTCTTTGCCTGTGTGCCCACGCTGAACTGTGTTCCTCTCCCAATCTGGTGCAATAGACCTTTCCAATATACCATCCATGTTATCTTGGGCTGAAAATCTGTTTCACTGTTTTTTGGTGGGTTTTGCTGCTCTAGAATTTGTTTAGGGCCATTTTTTACAGGTATTTGAAGGGGTTTGGGAGAGATCTCAAGCAAGTCACTGCTTTTACTCTGCCCAGGAACAATTATTAATAATTCTTCTTGTTCAATCATTTTCAGTCAGGTCTGACTCTCCATGTCCTCTTTTGGGTTTTCTTGGCAAATATACTAGAATGGTTTGCCATTTTCTTCTCCAGTTCATTTTACAGATGAAAAAACTATCAATAATTAGTGTTGTCCCAAAGCGAAATGAGCAGGCTCATCAGGTAGTGAGTTCCCTGTCACTGATGATTTTCAAGTAAGGACTAGATGGCCACTTCTTGGGAATATTGTAGAGTTCATGATTTGAGAGGGATGGGATTATATAAAACCTCTGAGGTCCCTTACTACACTGTGCCAGAATGCGTTGTCCATAATTCTACAGTGCTCTCTGTAGCAAAGTTTCTTGGATTCCACCAGAAAGGTCACTCTCAGTCCAGAGAATCATGTAACAAAGACCAATGGACATGAACTGCTCAATTTCCT